TGGCAGGAGGTAGAGAATTCCTCTTTGATGAAACTAGCCCAGAGGTACTGACTGACCACAGATACTGACATTTGGAGGTTCCCCATTGAACTAGCCAAGTCCCCACCACTGTACCCTCTGGCGAGGTCACCCAGCTGGAAACAGAGCTTCCAACCAGCTTTTTTGTTCCTATGATAGTATGTCAACCAAATAAGGGAAGGATGATATAAAAGGAAGTCTCGGAGACTGAGAAAAAAAAATCTCTTGAAAATTAAGAGTAGGATAGATAAGGGTTAACAAATAAATCAACAGAAAGATTGAAACAAAAAGTTGAGTGTATTTCCCAGAAAAAGTATTGAACATTTGGAGGAAAAAATAAATAAATAAACCCAGAAAATAAAGCATTTTATTTTCCTTAATTGAGGTATTTACTTGAGCAAAAGAAAAAAATTTTTTCACAATAAGAAAAGGACACATAGTTAAAGAACACTTTGTGGTTCTGCTGTGGACAATGTACATGTAACCGTAATGTAAATTTTGAATATTGATTGACCAAAGTTGTATGGCGGAACGCTAGTACTGTAGAAATTCAATGGATGACGTCTGAAGTCGGTACATCAGGGGCACAGAAGCATCTTTTGGACCACAGGGTGGGAAATAACTGAAGGAGCATCCTGGGAAGCTCTTAAAGGGTGAGAGGTGTGAGCTGCTACTCTTTGATATGAGCTTCGTAGCTTTGGCATTTACTATTTTGATAGAAGAATAAGTAATGACATTTTTAAAAATCATAATAATTTTAAAGTGTCAGCAAGACAGAGGCAGAGTTCAAATAGCCGCATGCATACAGTAGCTCCCGGAGGGCATTGTGAAGCAAAGAATGCTGCTTTCTGTAGTCCTGAGTCATCAACAAAGGTTTGATTCTGTTCTGCCTGTTCTGCTTTAGAGAAACAGATGTGACAGGGATTCTTCTCCAGAACAATGCCGTTCACTGTAGTTTTTGGGGAGAGTACAGACAAGGACTGTCCTCCTCTCCCAGTGTGGGAGGAAAGCTGCGTGGCCTCCCTTCCACCTCTCCCAGGCAGCCTCACCGTGTCTAGAAGAATAACGGGCCCATTGACCACACGCTACCTTGACCTGGTCCAGAGCCCTGATCATCGTTGGCCCCAGGTCTGCCAGACTCCTTTCTGCCTGGCCGGGCTGACCTCCCAGAGGTTCCCTGCAAGCTCCTGTCCTTGGGTGGTTGCCTTGAGTTCAGTAAAAGTCACTGGCCCCAGGGCAGGATCTTCTGCAGCAAAAATGAACCTCTCTGGGCCCAGATGCTGCATTGTTAAGTGGAAGGGACAAAGGGGGAGAGAAGAGGCTGAGAGGGCAGAGTGTAGCTTCTCAGACATGAGAGAGCATTTCCCCTATTTGTTCTCATACCAAAGAGACATCAGGAATACTTTACTTGACTTGTATTTTCCAGTGTGCAGAGCCAGAGAGGCAAATAAAAATCACACTGACCTGCTGCCATGGGAGGCACTTCAGAGTTTGTTAGCTGCTTTCTGCTTTTTACCTGATAATCTTCCTGTTATCAGGTATGTGCGATTTTACAGCAATGTGTCCCAGGCTAGAATGGGGCTCTTTGTTTAAATCCTGACAGCAAGGACTATGTTTCCCAGGATAGTAGCATATGAGAACAATTAATGCTAAATTATAATATTTTGACATGGCAATAAAAAGAAATGGGTGACTTTATTACATTGCTTGCTATAAACCTTGAGCAAAGCTGCTAGGATTTTTTTCTGCAATAGAATTATTTGAATAATATTAAGAGCAGACAGATAACATTTGAAGATTCTGGGATTTGAAAGATAATGGGGAGCCAGCCACACAGAGGGAGATCTTTTGAAATATTGAAATGGAGAATATTGGAAATGGAAGAATCCCCTGTTCAGTGCCCAGATGGGTTGAGGATCAGGCGATGCAAAGGAGGATCTTCATTGCTCTCCGACTCTCCCTTTGCCCCTCAACCCCCCGCCTCTGTCACTACTCCCCATTCCCTCCCCTCCACTCTAAAAACTATGGAGGATCAACTGTGTGCCCTGGGTCTGGACCTTGTATGTTTTAATAATTACACATGGAATTTAATGACTTTTAAGAATTAATATTTGCACCATCGTACATATGAAGAAACTGAGGCTTGAAACAATTAAGTAACTTGCCTGAAGTCCCCCAACTAGCAAGTGATAGAATGGGGATTAGACACTAGGCAGGCTGATTCCAGGGCTCCTGTTGCCTGGGCGGCACATACGAGTTTGTTAGCCCTGAGCTTGCTGATGATGTCAGCGTTGATGGTGGAGAGTGGAAAGAATGAACCATGAAATAGTTATTTGCTCAAGGTCGCATGGTGGTTGTTGGCGATGGGGTATATCCAGTTCTCTGATGCCACACACTCTTCCCTCTGCAATTTGGGGATTCAGATTGCTGTATATACAGAGAGTACATTAACTTCTAGAAACCTAACCAGCTCAGTACTGAATTCTCACATTACTTGAATTGATTTTAAGTTTAAGTAGGACTGTTAAGCATTGTTAGAGGCAATGCCCAATAAACTATTTTAAGCTAATACTTGTTTCCTAACAAGTACCTGCACATGGCAGAGTGGCAGAGTTGTGCTGAAAGGTGGACAGAAGAAACCTAATAATACTAAATGTATTTCTCCTTCTCTTAACTTATTAAAACAAAAACCAAAACACCATTTTTCATCAGACAAAATTTTAATGTTAAGCCACTTAGGGGCATTACAGTGAATCAGTGGTGCCCTGATGTAGCAGAAATTAGCATCTCCGTCCCCAACACTGGGACAGCAGCTCCCATCCAAGGCTAACTGGTTAAGGGCAAGTCATGGGCATTGGTTATCCATTTTAGCCATTCACCTTGGGAGAGAGACACCGTGGCTCCAGACCACTGGTCTACAGAAAGGTGTCTCAGTAGCGGCCAATGCAGCCCCTCTCTCTGCTTGTGAAAACCACCGCAGGCCCTGGAGTTGGCCACCTTTTAGCACAGCCCTGCCATTCTGCCATGTGCAGGTACTAGACTGGGCTCACTAATCTTGACCTACACCCTGCCCATTTTAGAAGGATAAGGCATTAGGCGATTGGCCCACAATCTGCCTATCTCCATGACCTCCATTTTTCATTTCAACTGGGTATAACCTCATCTGTATTCTTTTCAAGGCTCAGCTCAAGTATTAGCATCTCCTTTGCTTCCCACTCCACAGCCTCAGCTATGAGTAATGTCGTCTTCAGGACAAGCCCCGCACACCTGCTTTGCTGCTCCCTAATCACCCTACTGTTCTCGGCCTGGCACTGTGTGCATCCATCTCATTGTCCACATTAGAACTGCACACTTTGGAAGTAAAGAGGGAGTCTTGCCTATCTTCAGATTTATCGGAACTCTTAGGATGTTTTTTCTGTGTTTAGGACTCAGTGACTAGTGGTGGTATTCAGTTTTCAGGCAGATTTATGCCATATGGTAACAAAGGTTTGGAAAGACAAGAATAACTACCCACATTCTCTTTTTTTAATAACAACTATCTGATCACCGACATGTTCTGGTCAGCAATTCATCTCCTCTGACTTAGGTGTACTGTAGGAAAGAGAGAATGTCTAAGCCAGAGATTGGCAAACTGTGGCCTATGGGCTGAATTAAACCTTGCTATCTGCCTGTTCTTATAGGACTAGGGAGCTAAGAATCATTTTTACATTTTAAAATGATTGGGGGGGTGGGAGAAAGGGAAAATAATATTTTGTGCCACAGTACGATTATATGAAATTTAAAATTGTAATTGTATTATATGAAATTCCAGTATCATTGTCTATGAATAAAGTTTTATTGGGACACAGCCATACCCATTTGTGTATGTACTGTTTATGGCTGTTTTGTGCCAAAACAGCACCTGAGCAGTTGAGAGGTTACCACAGAGACTGAACATCCCGCAGAGCCTAAAATATTTACTATCAGAACCTTTACAGTGAAAGTGTGCCAGTCCCTGTTCTGAGTCATTTTCAGAAATGTCTCCCACACTGTGAAAGAGACTGGGGAGGTGAGATTGGATGAAGGCACAAAATACCTGAAGGAAAAGAAATCTGAAATCAAGAAAAAAAAGGAAGGGGAGGCAGAGGCCTGCTTGGAGGTGGCAGATCTCCAGGGTTTATATGCATGTGGGCAAACATATGTGCAAAGAGATTTCAATCCTCCTGAAGAGCTCCTGGATTCTCACAGCAGTGCACATGCCCAAAGGACAGACCTCAGGCATTTCACACAGCTGTCTGCTCTCCATTAAGCACTCTGCATGGTTCCTTTGGAGAAATAGTAAACTGAAATTAGAAGGTTATCAGTCATTCCTGATCATTCTGTGTACCAAGGCTAACTGACATGTGCTAAAACTGACATGTAAGAGCTAAAGGTGCCATTTTTCCCAGTTGTCTCTGGTTCAACTATAGGAAAGTGTGTTTGTGTGTGTGTGTGTGTGTGTGTGTTAGGGAAATACCTTTGAATGTGTGTCTGTCTCTTTGTGTGTCAATTTGGCGAAAATCCATTTTGGGTGAATGCCAATTAAATCGCATATATGTGGGTATCATTAAACATAAGAAGTTTTTAAATAAAGACCTATCAACTAGTACTTGACTAAAACCAGTTCAGCCCCTTGGAGAGTTGAGATTACAGTTTTTTGTTTGGAAATCTGCCATTTTCATGTGTTTCTCTTATTTTCTTATTACAGGGTAATGCCCTCTACTTCAAATCAGCCAGAAATGTTACAGTGAACATTCTCAATGAGCAGACTAAAGTCCTAACTCAGCTAATAACAGGTAAGAACAGAAAGAACTTAGCAGTGCCTGGTCTATGCAAAACACTCAGAAAAAGGAGAAACAGAGCTTGAATGAAACACCATGTGAATTAAAGAAAGAAATGTCTGCTGACACACTTTACAGTGTGAAGAAAGAGAAGATAGCATGTGTTGCATGATTCTCCTAAAGGATAGAGTCTCATCACATACACATATTTAACTTTTGCAGATCTGATGATACTCCATTGTGGGGCAGGAGCTGATTAGGTATTTTTCTTGTAGCATGGTCCCTAAACACAACCAACTGCTTCTATTAGAGCTCAACCATGGAAAAGCTCTCTGCTCCAATGCTAGAGGAAAAGCTGGCTATGTTGGATTATTTGAAAGAGCACAGTACACACAAAATTACACACACCATACTCGATGGAGTATAAAAGGGGTTTCTAATGGTAGCTTGAACCAATGCCATATTTATAGTACATGCTGACTTTAAACCTAACTCAACTGCCAAATACAGATGTACCTCCACTGACTGTGTTTGTGTAGTTCCTTTTAATAGAGATCTGCTCCTAACAGATGTGGAAAGCACCCACTGGGTTTTAAGTTGTATATTCCTGCAATATAAACAAAGATTGGCTATTCACAATAATGATTTTAATGATACACCCAGAACCATGATCATGTTCTGGGTGGGATGAGCAATGCCCTCTCTGTAGGTTATGAGCAGCAGTAAACAGGAGCCATAACACACCCTCCCAGTAGAAGGGGAAATGGGGTGGTGCCTGAGTGGCACTGTTTTCTTCCAGAGCAAGAATGCCATTTGTTTAGCTGCAGGGCTGTGAGAGAGGTATACAAATGGACATTTTGAGGAGCCAGTTGCCCAAATGCCCTGAAACATCACTGTGACTGAAACCATCTGGAGTCCCACTAATAAACAAGCCACGGGGAAGCAGGTGCTTTTGAGCCCTGAGTCTTGCTGGGGAAAGAGCCTCACTGTCCCCGCAGGGGCACTGTGTCTGGCTGTCTTCAGATTCATAGCCAGTGGGATGACTTGGCCCGTCTACCAATGGAAGAAGTCGGGTGGAAGGAGCTGCTGCATGGCAGAGCCCATAATCCATAAACATGTTGTTCCAGTGTGCAACTGGATTGCCGGCCTTGCTTAGAGAACATCTGGCCTGCAGTCACAATGCTAAATAATTAAATAAACGGCTTCAGTAAGCAATGATTTAAGTGGCATGTGTGAAAATTGCCTCCAGGAGGGAAATAAATCCAGCCTTCAGTTCCCAGATTCCTGCATTCAAAAGGAACCTACTTAGCTTGTTGATCATTTGCCATTTATTTGCAGTGGGAGAGTTGGTTTACTTGAGAGATTTTGTTTTGATAAAGCTGGAACTGCCCAAATGACTATTATTCAGCAAGTCAGCTAGTCAGTCTCTCCCACCTCTCCTTCCTGCTCTCCATCCCCAGTTCTCTCTCCTTTCCCTCTCTCTTGTTCTCTCTTCTCTCTTGCCTCCTTCCTTCCCTGCCTTCTACCTTTCTGTCTCCCCTGTCCAAGTTAGGCCCTCCTGGGAGCTGAGACACCTATCTGGACCTGTTGAGGTAAGGAACAAGATAGCTAATACTGAAGTGAGATGAGCAAAACACCATTCTAACACCAGCTGGTGGGAACCTTTCCGGATAATTTTTAGAGAAGATAATAGATGTGTTCAAAATATAACTTAAAGCCCATATATTCATGCATACTCACCCCTAAAGTTTTCCTTCAGGGTTGTCTTCTTATATTTATTCACATGGTGGAAGGCACAAAGGAGTTTTGGGAGACAATGTCCTCTGAGGCCTGTTAGACTTGACAGTGTACTTAGCCGGGACCGATGGCCGCTCTCATCCAGCCACCAGGCTTACTCAGGCAGTCCTGGGGGTTCCGGAATTCTCCTGCTTACCTAAAGCATGTCTCAAAAGACCAGAATAAATTCCAGTGTTAGCAGTCCAGGTAATCTTTACAGATGAAACAGTGCTGTTCCCAGGCCAGGTCACAAAGGCATACTTAACTAAGTAGTGCTGCTGACTTAGTGTCACCTCAGGAGTGGATCCTGACAGGAGGTAAGTTGTGGGGAAGTCTTCCATAGCATCTTGCCAGAGTGGCGAAGGGTCCCTGGGGGCTAGGCTGGTGGCCCCAGGCCTTTCCAATCACCAGACCAGTGGCACTGGAATGACGAGGCTGCTGATGCATCCCGACAGATTCCAGTTCTCCTCCCTGTTTGGGAGATTAATTGAGGAGATACTTCACACATGTCCTACCACACACAGAGGGGGATTAACTGAGGATTAATTTCAGGTTATGAATAATGATTTTCTTCATCCCAGAGAGGAACAATGGGCCCCTGAGCAGTCTCCATGTCATTTGCATTTCCCTCTGGAATCATTTTTTTTTAGTTCAGCCACATCCAAGCAGTTTTGGTAGCCCCAGGTGTAATTCACGAAGAACAAGTCCTCTGCACCCCTGAGTCAGCAGTGGCTCTGTGGGGTTTTGGCTACAACTACAAATTACACACCTAAACGGTTCTGGCCCTTGGTGAATTCCATTTTGTATTGCAAGAAGCCCTGAAAAGCAAGATAACTTAATTGTGTTTTGTGTTCTCTGATTGCTGCCGTCTCTTCAGTACACCTCCTGCATATCTCACAAACCATTCCTAAGTTCAGAGGAAACTCACTTTATACAGGCAGGTGTTCTTGATTCCTTGGGGCCATTATCATGTTATTGCCCAGGTCCATGCAGGCAAAGTGCAAGCATTTGTGTCCCCCAGTTGGACCCCACTTTGCTATCTGACTGGATTCAGAGTGGGCCAACAGTTCACTCTATGCTTATCCTGAGGTCATTCATTCATGCATTAGCACTTTTTTACTTCCTGATCCCCTATATTCCCCTAAAAAAGCAAAAGGTAACAATGCCAAAGCATTGACAGTAAGAGATTTTATTGCAGGTTTTGGTGGTGGCCAACAAGACAGCACCCTCTTAGCCCTCCCAGACGACCCAGTCCTGAGCCTTCCTTGCACGTCTCTGTCCTTTCAGGTTCTCTCTGCCTGGGGTTTGTCTCCAGCTTTCTACTTCCCACCCTCCAAAAACTCATTTCCCAGCAGCCACTCAGGTGTTGGCTCCACCCCTCTTTCCTTTCTATGCAAAATCACAACCCTTTTCTTCTGTGGAACAATTCTGAGAGCTCAGTTCCTGACCCAGATCGACAGTAGGTCACCTGGTGACCCTGAACCTCACTGCCACATGTCCTTCTCCCCGACAGCATGACAGCAGGCGGGAGGGATGGCATCCTGCTTCCATGCCATTGGAAATGCAGTGCTCTGTGGGCCATTTAGCCTCCCAGTCATTAAAGGGCCTTCCCAAGGTCCTTCTTTTTGTCAGGGCCAGTGTGGACATACAAGCAAGAGGTCAGGCCTGCCCTGTTGGCATGACAGTGTGAAGTGCACTAAGAAGTGATCATCCTTAATTCTTGTACACGTGTTGTGACCATTGCATTAGAGAAATGGCACTAGCCGTGCTCACAGTGATGATGTGATGATAGTCGGGCAGTGGGCTCCTACGTCTCACAGCACTAGCACTGCCCACCTACAGACTTCTTTTTGAAAACAGTATAATTCGATCCTTTTAGCTTACCTGTGAGGTAGGTAGAATAGTACAGTTTTGCAGATGCAGAAAATGGAGTTCAGAAAGATCAAAGGATTTGCCCAAAGTCGCAGTACCAGAAAGTGAGAGTTGGTTGGGACATAATTCTTCTTTTGTGATTCTTAATCTGTCCGGGGGGCTAGGTCGGCATTATCAGCAAAGCCTCGGAGTGTTCTCTTGTTTAAACATAAATAATTTCACAGAATGTCAACACCACATAAGGCCACTCAGTGGCCATGAAGGATCAAGAGGAAACAAAAACAAAGATAACTCTGATCATGTCTAAACATGACAAAAATGGTAACATTCATCTAAACCACAGAAATGACTAAGCCTGGCTAATAGCAGTGACTGCTGTTTCTTTACCATTATAGTTTAAACATTGCTCTGCTCTTCCCTATGTCTAGATAAGGTTTATTAAGACGCCAACATAAAATTACTCTCACTTCCTGACAGTATCTACTCCAGAGCAAAGCCTTGCTTCCTTAAACCCTGCCCAAAGAAACCGAAGGTCAAATAAATACTATAACGAGCACTTTCTTTTTCCTGAGATTCCCCATGGGGTGCCCCAGGGGGTGCATTCTCCCTCAAGGCAATGACCAATGAGCCCAACTCATCCAGCTGCACTTGTGTCCTTGTGTCTTTATCCGAAAGGCAGTGAGGGCCCTGTCACGATTCCTTTTTATTAAAAAGTAACTCTGTCTTGAAAAAAACTAGAAGGAAACAAAAAGGCTCTATCGGAATCTCCTGGGCAATTTCAGAAAAATGTAAGACTTCTGGACTCTAATCTCAAAATGTTTTCTGCATGCATTTCCAGACCAAAAGACAAATTCCTTTTGATCTGCACTAGGTTCAGTGAGGAGGATTACACCCAGCTTATTCTGATGCTTCCTGCAGACCAGCTCTTGGGAGCCACCTGATTTTCAGGTATTCCAATAGCTCCACCTCAGCTTAAATGGACCGAAATGTCTCCTCTTTCTTTCTTTTTTTTTTTTTTTAGGAATTCTAACACATTAATCTCTTTTATTTTTTGCATTGCACCCCAAACTCTGCAGTTTTCTGAGCTTTTATTAAAGCTTAAACTTCTGTCTCTATCAGAAGATGCGACTGTGGTCCCAACTGATAGCATCTATTGTCATGTAATAAAAAATGTATTTTTTATTGAATGAAATTCTAGCACAAAAGATTTAAAAATTTCCTAGGCAATTAAATGTAATGTATTATAGCCTTTTCTGTCAGCAAAGGTATATACTGAGGAAATAGGCTTGTCTGAGGTCAAATGCAGCAGTGCACTGGTCAAGGATACAGAGTGAAGCAGATTTAAACTGAATATAAAGACACCCTTTCCAACAGTAGAGCTGGCCAAGGATATGCCAATTGCTTCAAAAGGTGGTGAGCTTTCCATGCCTTGATACACTGAAGCCAAAATCTACAAGTATTTGACAGTAATTTGGTGGTTAACTGAGGGAAATCTGACTCAGGCATTATTTTGAAAAAAAAGACATGATTGTCTTTAAAAGTGTAGCCTGAGAGCGTATGATTAAAAGTGATTGACAAGACATGGCTAAAGTCGTGAGACTGACTTTCACAGTTGGCTTCTGAAAAACCAGTCCACTTACATTAAAGTCCAATACACTCTTGTCAGATGTACATGTTCTATGAAAAGCTCTTTATAATTGAATGCAATGAGACTGATGTGTTCTCTTTCTCCTTTCTAGGTCCAAAAGCCGTTGAAGCTTATGGCAACAAGTTTGAAGTAAAAGCAGTTTCTGGAAAATTGCTCTTCTCTGCAGATAACAATGAAGTGGTAGTAGGAGCTGAGAGATTAAGAGTTTTAGGTAAGGAAACTTTTATCATTTAATTGGTTTGATGCTACTTGTATATTTTAGAGGAAATGGTGCCTAATGAATGAATTAGGCCAATTACTTGGATTCTCTTAAAGCAAAGCAGATGATTCCCCAACCCCCCACCTTGGAACCTGGTGAATTCTCAAGCCACGAATCTTTGTGGACTGTCTGCCAGCACTGAGCTTCAGGTGGGGATGTGTGCTCATGACAAGAAGCATGATAGAGCTCATCCTGTCCTCACAGCCTGGCTCTCTTGCTAGAAGCAGTCAAGACCTGTATATGTGGTAGAGATTCATATCTGATTTCCTTGCTAGGTGACTCCTAGATTCCCATCCAGCCCTGCACCTTCTTTGAATTCTAGGTCTTCCTCTTCTCTAGGTACTCTACCAGCCTCTCAAACTTAGTAGACATTGAGGGCCTAGCATAGGAGCACACACACACACACACACACACACACACACACACACATGTGACTACCCTCTAACTCTCATACCTGTATTCACCCCACTTCCTTCTCACTCTTACTGGCCGCATTCTGCTCCCCTCGGTCAGTCTCCAAACTTCAGCATCATCCTGAGTAGCACCAGGGTCAGCAGAGTGTGATGGAAGTGGCCACCCTGGGAGGGGTGGCTCAGTGGACATAAAGATGCCAGGTGCAGAGGCTGTGAGCCAGGGATATCCAATCCCTGGTCAGGTTCTTACCTGTGGCATGATCTGGAACAATTCCTTTTGCTTCTCAAAGGGTCTAGCTTATTCCTAGCTGTAAAATGAGAATTGTTTACAGCAGAAATTTTCAAACAGTTTTTAAAATTTAGCAACAGAAACTTTTAAAAATAAAATTTCATACCAAGACCCAATAAATAAAATATATGTAAGACTAAGATCATGCTGGATTATACATGGGGCTTTTGAGGGAGAGAAGTCAGAGATTGGAGTCCAAGCTGTATACTTTCATTTTTTCCTCTTCTGTGCACTTTGGAGACCTCTTAGAACTTTTCTTTAAAACCCCTTAAGTGGATAGTCTTTGAAAAAATAATAAAGTCTATTGGCCACTTTCTGTGATCCAGGGACCATGCTTTATGTGTTACACTTACATGTCACTAACTCCTTGAGAGGTAGGCCCCATTTTTATCATTCCTGCCTTATAGATGGCAGAACTGAGCCATAGGAAAGGGTGAGTCATAGTAAAGGGTAAGAACCGGAATTTCCAGACAGGTATTTTTAATTCAGAGTGCTTCACTTTGATGTGCTATACTTTTCTGCCTCCTCAAATTTGTCCCATTTTCCAATGAGCGAACCAAGACTTGTAAAGGTAAAGAAGGTTACCCAGGATAATGCACCAGCCATAGGCCTGAAGCACAAGCCCTGGCCTGGGGACACCAGCCTCAGTGCACTGAACAGCACAGCATGATGTCAGTTCTAACACACCAACTCTCACAACTAATGCTTTTCTCTATTATTTGTAGAGATGGCACTTCCCACATTAGTTGTAGGTTGGGAACACAAAAACCTGTCCTCTTGTTTAAGAGTACTTCCCTATACCAGCTCTAATAATTGTCTAGGGGAAGAAGTGATGGTATCTCCTGCCAGGATCATTTTGTATGAATGGGGTTTGACACTTCCCATTAGTTCTTTGGCACTTTGTAAGTCACCTCACTGCTTTAAAGTCTGACTTTGCAGAGATGAGGATAATTCTGGATGTCCAAACACTTTGGTTTAATCTTCATGTACAAAACTCTATGATGGTATCATTTAAGATCTTTCCTCCACCCCACCCCATCCCATCATTATGTAGATAAAGGGGCAGAAAGTTATTGCAACTTTTGGTCACATCACGGCAGGTGGCTATTTTTGTTGTTATTGCTTATGCTTATGATATTTCACTGAGAGAGCAATTTAGGATAAAGTCTGTCTCTCTCCATCATTAGGAACATTTGCTTTTTTATGTAAAAAATGTAGATAGGAAGCATCACAATAAATACCAAAGCTGCTACCAATGCTAAAAAGACTAGGAAATGACCACTCTACAAATCTCGCATCAACCTACTCAGTGAAATGAGCCTAGTGTGTTGCAGAAATGAGCTTCCTGTCAGCTGGGATTCAGCCATATGGTGTGGAATGAAAAGTTTAGGCAATTTCATTTTCAGCTTAATGAGAAGTTTGTCTTTTTGAGTTGTCAGGCTGCACAAGCTCCTGGGAGGTTTGAATCTGGATGCAAATCTCATGGTGGCATGTGACACCTTGGATTTGAATCCTTGCTCAAACTTTAGAATTTGAGTGACCCTATCCAAGTCCATTTTTCTCTTTAAGCTTTAGTTTTTATGTATATGAAACAGAAAAGAACAATAAAGAATGGAAGCAAGAACAAATGACTGTAGTAAGAAACATATGTAAATAAATCAGTTATTTTAGTTGATAGTTGAGTAAGAATAAGTAGCAAAAAGTAATACAGAATAAGTCTAAGAAGATTAATGCCTCTTGAATATAGTAGCTTAATTCAATTGCTTAAATTCTTCTCTGGATAACCACACCCACCTATTGCATTTTTAGGACAGCAGCTACCTTGAACTCACTCAAAGGACCTAAATAGCGTGGCAGTGGGACTAGAAGCCATGCCTCATAAAGAGTGGTTCAACTATCTGGAAAAAACATGGGGGAATCAGTGTAGGCAGATGATAATTGCTGATCGATCATATATGCATTTTCTTCCTGGGGAAAAGACTAGGCAAGATCTGTGGAGATGAGTGGCTGAGGGCATAGGTTTTATAGCACTAGCCTGTAATCCTAGTTTCTGTCATTGGTCAGCCAGTGTCCTTGGATGTGTCATTTCACCTTTCTAGGCACCCTTGTACTCTGTGACATAGTGTAATAAGGCCAGGCTATCACAGAAGTTGGGAGAACTGGATGGTACAGTGTATACAGATAGTACAGGGCATGGCATATAGCAACCACTCATTATGTGCACACTAGTTTTGTGTTAATGATAGTTTCTGTTGCTTCACTTAGGCTTCAGGGACTCATGAAGTCTTAGTAGTTTTTACACCCCCTATTTGTTCACTAAAGAAGAGAGAAATTGACTTAGCACTGTAGGAATATTCATGTGTCAATAAGTTTGGACTGGCGTATTTATTAAACAACCTAGGGCCAAAACAGAAAACACCTTTCCAGGCTAAGAAGTATTACATTGCCCATGTCACCCAGGTGCATGTGAGGCTGGTCTTAGTAATTGTGTTCTCAAGTTTGGATATGTATAGTGGAGGGATCGAAGGTCTGGGTTGAATTCTCATAACAGTAGGGTCTCTCTATCCACTCACTAAGACAATGGTCCTCAAAGTGTGGTCCTTGAATGGGAATCATAAGCTATGGTCTACTTGTTAGTCATGCAGACTCTCAGACCCCACCCAGACCTGCTGAAACAGAAGCTCAGGGTCCAGCCCAGCAAGCCCAGCAAGCTGTGTTTGAAGAAGCCCTCCAACTCATTCTGATACAGGCTGAAGTTTGAGAACCACTGACCTAAGACAATCACTCAACTCCACAGCTTTGCTGGAAGTGTTCAGTTGAGGTTAGGCTCAGCTTTACCGCTTGCTCAAGAAAGGCTACAATATAATTACAGCTAACATCTGCTGAGAGCTTACTCTGTGCAAGATGTCAAACTAATCATTCGCAATGGCTTAAATAGATTTGATCCTCCCAACAACCTTATGAGGAGGGCGCTGGCTTATCACCTGGATTTATAGAGGAGCAGACTAAGGCACAGAGTGATCTGAAAGTTTCCCAAAATTCCAGAGAGAGAAACCGGTGGTGTCAGGATCTGAATCCAGGCAGGTTTTCTCACCACTCTCGATGACATCTATCACAGTCATCTTCAACTTCCCCCAGCTCCACAGCACCCTGGCTGCACAAGTAGAGGGTGCAAG